TTAATGTTCCCAGGTACTGAACTGACACAAGTTGCTTGGCCTCTCCCATTCCCAATAGCAACCTGGGGCTCCAGCAGCTTAGTTTCAAGGTTCTCTGTATGGTCCATGTAATCCAGCTTGTAGGAGGTGGCACAGACAAGGCAGTGGCAATGAATTTTCTCTCTCTCTCTCCTGCCATTTCTATCTGCTGTGAGTACAAATGAAAAGGCAAAGACGCTTTCTAGAGCTTTTTGGCTAGATCTGAAGTGGTTAACTCTGGGCTCCTCACCAAAACTCCTGCAAGGTGTTGGCCTATCTATGAGGAAAGTGTGTCTTAGTATTATCATTCCTGGATTTCTCTTAGTGAATCTTCTGTTATTTGGGATAATGCAAAGGGACATTTGGTGTCCCAACTGTGCAAAATGAGCATTAGGTATCCTTGCACCTGAATCAAGAATCCTGATGCATTCATTTTTAGCTATACAGAAGTGCTGGTTGGAAGAGAGCTCTGAAAGTTATTTAGTCCATCCTTTCACTTAAAGCAGGCCTGCTGCCAGTGCTGTCAGGTGTGACTTTGTCAAATAAAATCTTGAAAATTTCCACATATGGAGAACCTACCATTTCTTCTGTTATCCGTTCCAGTGTTGCACTAATCTCTGGTGAAGACATCTTCCATCATGTCAAGTCTGAACTCCACAAGCTGCAGTTGCAGCTATTGCCCCAGGTTATATCTTCTGCCCCTACCAAGAAAGGACATGTTCCAACATCCTTGTGACTGCTTTTCAACTATTCATAGGCAGTTATTTAATCACTCCAACCTCCTCTTGGTCAGACTAAACAAGCCCAGCTCCCTCTGTCACTCCCACTGGGTCCTGTGTTCCATACTCTGATTGATTTGGTAGTTCTTCATTACACCCTCTCCAGTTGCTTCCCATTCCTCTTCAACTGGGGACCAGCAGACCAGACACAGTCCAAGTGCAGCCTCATAAATGTCATGGAGAATGAGGATTGTAAGTTAACTTGATCTGCTAGCCATGCTCCTCCAGTGTTCATTCATTGCTGCATACAGAGTTCATCCAAACAGAAATTAATTCCAAGAAAACCCAAGCAATCAGCTCTACTGACATGCTCTAGACAGAAGATCAAAAGCTCTGCCAAAGATATTTGTTTAACTGCTTTTCATGTAAATTAATATATTTGCTTCAGATCCCTTTAGTATTGTAAAAACTTGAACCCAGAGAAGCACCAAGTACCTTGTTGAAAGTAAAATCTGCAGATGAAAATTCTTTCCCTTCAAAGAACAGTCAACTTTTGAGACAGCCTCATGTATTTACTTACTTTACATGTCCTGAGCATCTCTTTGGGATGTGATTGAGAGGCCATATTTGAAGAGCTAAGAATTAAAAGTCTAGTATGTATTGCAGTGTAAAATCCTAGGAGAGGCAAAGTTTTCGCACTATTCACAAGGTAACTAGGCAAGCTCAGAGACATGGTTACCTCACCTATGCACACCATGATAACATGAGAAGCTGCTACTTCAGTGGGGTTCTCTGGTGAAGTCCCTTCTAGGTTTCCTTCTGTAGATGCTACCACCAATTTAACAAAGCAGGTGGTTTTCAGCAACATTTCAGATGGCCTGGCAACTTTCTAGGAATCAAGGACAGCATCCTATTTTGATAGGTGAGTGGTCCAGAGGAGGCCACGAGGATGACCAGGGGCTGGAGCACCTCCCATACAAAGACAGGCTGAGAAAATTGGGACTGCTCAGCCCGGGGAAGAGAAGCTTCATGGAGACCTCATAGCAGCCTTCCAGTATCTGAAGGGGGCCTACAAGGATGCTGTAGATGGACTCTACATCAGGGACTGTCGTGATAGGACAAGGGGTGATGGGTTTAAATTGAAACAGTGGGAGTTCAGGTTAGATATAAGGAAGTTCTTTACTGTAAGGGTGCCTGGGTTCGGCTGTAGCAGTCATTTTTCTCCTTAGTAGCTGGTGCAGTGCTGCACTTTCGATTTTAGTCTGAGATCAACGCTGATAACACACTGATGTTTTTAGTTGTTGCTATGTAATGCTTACGCTGATCAAGGACTTTTCAGTCTCATGCTCTGCCAGTGAGGAGGGGCACAAGAAGCCGGGAGGATGCACAGCCAGCACACCTGACTCACAGAAGTTAAAGGGGTGTTCCATACCACCACACATCATGCCTAGTATATAGACTGGGAAGAGTTACCCAGAAGGCCCAGATCACTGCCTGGGTTGGCAGGTGGTGAGCAATTGTACTGTCCATCACTTGTGTTTATTGTTTTCTTTTCCTTTTCCCCTTTTAGTTTTATATTCTCTCCCCTTATTATTTCCCTTATCTTTATTATGATTAGTGGTAGCAGTAGTAGTTTTGCATTACACCTTTACAGGTATATTATTATATTATTGTATTATACCTATATACAGTTACTGGATTGCTCTTATCTCAACCTATGGGATTTACATTCTTTCGATTCTCCTCCCCATCCTTCTGGAAAGCGGGGTGGAAGAAGAGGCAGGAGTAAGCAAGCAGCTGCATGGTTCTGAGTTACCAGCTGTGCTTAAACCACGACAGAGGGTGATGGGGCACTGGAACAGGTTGCCCAAAGAAGTGATAAATGCTCCATCTCTGGCACTGTTCAAGGGCAGTTTGGACACAGCCTTAACATGACATGGTCTAGTGTGAGGTGTCCCTGCCCATGGCAGAGGGGCTGGAACTAGATGATCTTAAGGTCCTTTCCAACACAAACCATTTTATAATTCTATGACTCTAGCACATACAAAATGACTAACCCAAAGTAATCCAATCTGAGATGAAAACTCAAAGCTTTTAGCTCCTAGTAAATTGCTTAAAACACTATGCTTGCTTCTCACGTTTTCCCCAAGTCCAACTGTGGCAGGCATGGTTATTGAAAAGTAGACCCACCCTTGCTGGGAACATTCCCACCTGAAGACTCTTCATTCAAACATTCCCAGCTCAGTGAACTCTAGATGAAGCTCAGCAGACATCCGCTTAGTCATGTATGCTAAGCTCTGCAGTTTTGACTTCATCTGCCCTGATACTTCCATGTGTTACATCCTCTATGAATGTCAAGCCTCGCACACCAGGGATATGCAATTGAAGGCATTCCATAAATGGCAGGTGAGGAATTTGCTGTTGCGTTGCAACAAATGGATTGCTCAAAACTGCATAAGCTGAAAAAAACATTAAGCTGCTTCTTTCAACCAGGTCATGGAAGGACAATTTCAATTATTCAAAAAGAAAATTGCTGGGCAGAAACAACAATTTTCTGTGTTCTCTGTAATTTCACAGTTGGTTTTTGTGTTTATTTACATGTGGCATCAATCCTAATAACAATCACTTCCAACTTATTTGCAACCCTCCTCGTGAACCCCTGATGTAGCATTTTCAGATTAAACCTCCAGTGCTTGGCTCATCCTTCTCCACCACGCACCATGCTGCCTTAGTTCTTTCCTCTCATTATCTCTTAATTTCTGTATGTTCTCCACACCTGCCTCCTCAATCTCACCTCTGCAGACCTGTCCTTCTTACCCATCCACCTCCTTCTACCTAACATGCTTCCTTGTCCTGACCTTTAGCACATCTCTCATAGAATTATAAAGTAGTTGAGATTGGCAGAGACCTCTTGAGGCCATCTGGGTCCAGCCCCCCTTCTCAAGCTGGCTCCCCAGGACCATGTCCAAACAGCTTTTGAGTACTTCCGAAGATGGAGAACCCCACAATCTCTCTGGTGGACCTGCACTAGTGCTCAGTCACCCTCACGGTAAAAAAGTGTTCCCTGATGTTCAGAGGGAATCTCCTGTGTTTCAGTTTGTGCCCATTGCCCCTGGTCCTGTCATTGGGCACCACCGAACAGTGCCTGGCTCTTTGTACCCTCCCTTCAGATGCATTATATATATATAGTGTGTGTATATATACACACACACACACACACACACTATATATATACACACTAAGAAGATCTCCCCTCAGCCTTCTTTTCTGTCTCAGAAAGAGCTGTCTCAACCTCTCCTCATAGGAAAGATGTTCCGGTCCTTTCATCATCTTTGTGGCACTTCACTGGACTTTCCAGTATATCCATGCCTCTTTTGTACAGAGGATCCCAGAACTGGACACAGTACTCAAGTGTGAAGCCTTCCCACTGCTGAGTAGAGGGGAAGGATCACATCTGTCACACCTCCCTCAATCTGCTGGCACTACTCTGTCTAGTGCAACCCAAGATGCCATTTGTCCCCTTTGCAGCAAGGGCACATTACTGGCTCATGTCCAACTTGGTGTTCACTAGGACACCCAGGTCCTTTTCTGGAAAACTTCCTTCCATCTGGGTCACGCCCAGCATGCACCGGTGCATCATCAAGTAGTCCTGTCAGAGTTACTGCTCTGAGTGCATCAAACTATAAACTGCAAATGTAGACCAAGGCTAAACTGATAATAGTAAATTAAAACATAGTATACTGGCATAAGTAGAATAAATTGGAAATTAATAACATTTGTCTTCCTTTGTTGGAACAAAATCTCTGGCTAGAAAAAAGAGTTAAGAGTTTTCAAGTGTATAGAAATGCAACCTACTCTCCCACCCTTAATGTTCACTGTGGTTTTATGATGTTCACACTCTTTGTTTCTGCTCTATTTGAACTGAAAGCTCCTTGTAGTAAGGATTTGTCCACTGCTTCCCCTCTCTGTAGTTATGAAACTGCAGAGTGAGAGAAACATATTCTTGGTCGATTCAATAATAACACACGATTAACTGTGTTCCTTTGACTCCAGAAGTTCCAGCCTCTTGACTCATTTGGTTGAAGTTGGCCTGTAAAGAATGGAGTGCAGCTGGTTCCTTCTGACAGCAAAAAGTAATGACATGGGTGCATACTTTTGGTCCAATGCAGTACTAGCAGTTTATTTTCACTGCTGGATTTACAGAAGTTGAAGTCTCATTTCTTCTCTCCTACTCATATTACTGGAATGCAAAAGGAGAGCCTGTTTATATGTTTTCAGCACTGGAAACCAGGCTTCATTTTCCCAGTCCTGCTAGCATCAGACAACGGAGATGCAGGGAATGGAAATGAAATCTGATGCTCAGGAATGGAGGAATGACCAGCTCACCCTCAGAGATCTGAAGACCCGGCATCTGTTGTGACAAAAATTTTGTTTGCCCTTATAGGACACACAAGGCAAAGACTAGGCCAGGGAATATGTTCCAGGTCTCATCTGGTCATAAATAGCAGTAAGCCAACACATGTTGATTGAGAATGGATCTACTGCTGATGGGAACTCACCATTATGGGCAACAAACCCATCCCTGCAAAACACCTTTGTGAGGGTTTGAAAGAGGCAAATCCTTGGTCTTGTGTAGACCTTTGGTTTGCAGGACAATGATCCACTTGTACCACTGAGGAGGCAGTTATGAGATGAAAATGCACATGGGATTTATCCAAGAGACTTCTCACAGATCCATGGAGCAGCAAATTCACAGCTGGAGGCCTGGAAATGATCTTTCATCAGGACAGCACAATGTTGCACAGGGCTGTTAGAGAGGATGCTGCAAGAGACATGGAACAAAAATGAGACTGAGAGAAAATGCTGAGATATCTCCAGGAGGTGAGAAAGATTTTTGGAGGGTGGAGCCCAGAGGAAGTGAAAGAACCCAACCTCCAGCTGTTAGAAAACAATACGTGCACCCAGAAACCTGTAAAACCTTGGAGATCACATACCTAAATAATTTTGCCACCGTGGAACTGAAATCATAACCAAATATGGACAGGATGCCCTGACAGTGAAAGTGGTACCCACCATCATGAGAATGGCAGTGCTGAGAGTTTCATGTAAAGATCATCTCCAAGGAGTTTGTAAGAACAGAAAGCTGGACTTAAGATGGGAACTAAACAAAGGTCTTGGATTACCGACCTACTGACAATGATCTTGAGAGAGTTTTTCCACTGGAGAAGTGTTAGACACTAACTAGTTTCCTTCACTGCCATAAAAGGAAAAGGGCCAGGCAAAGTCACTGGACGAAATCATAATGCTTTCCCTCATGCAGAATGATGAGTTTTGCCCAAAGCTGAGCCAAAATTAAGGTTCTGACTTGGGCTGGCACCAGTAAAGCAGCAAAGGGCTGGATACTCACACCCAGTGACACCATCACTTGGCAGAATGGGTGCAAAGTGACTAAATCCAGTTAAGCCAAGATAGACCATATGGTTTTCTGACTGAGCAACTGAGTGAGCAGTACAGGTAAATGATCACTGATCTGAGCAGCTGGAGTGAAGTAGAGAGTGAGATACTAACATTAGCCCTGCTTTTCACATGTACTGTAACAGCCTTTACAAGGTGCAGGGCAGTAAAAAGTAGACCCTTTTGAGTTCAGTGCCATACAGGTGACAACAAAATCTGCTCAGGAAGAAAGCTACTGAAATCTGATGCAGGAACTCTGGGCATTTTGGATCACCAGGCAATTAGCACTCTTGTTTTTAAAACACAATGAAACTCACTTGGTGCCACTGAATATAGAGCCATCTTCCCAAATCCATCCAGAGCCTGTGCTGTTCCTCAGTCCAATCCAGAAACACTCTGGTTGAATACTCTTAAACAGCTCCTAGAAATGGTGATGAATTACAAAGTGACTAATGAAAGCCAGCCTGAAAATGAAGGTAAAGAGATGTAAATAGAACAGAGAGCAAGATATACCCCCTTGCCTGACTATTCCTTAAATGGCTGACAATACCGCTTCTCCACACCTGCTAATCAGGAAGATCAGCCCCGCAAATCATGACCGGAATAAAAACTATGTATACACTCACAAGGAAGTAATGGTGCTTTCAAGGGTCCTAGACCGATTCCTCAAAGGCCATTTCTCAGGGCAACATATGTGAGCCAACTGCACCCCAGTTTCCTGAAGTATCCTACACTTTATGTAGGAACATATGCTATTTCTATTGGTGCTTTACCATACAGCTAGCTAGCAAGCTAATACAGAGTATTAACAATTAAAGGTAAAATCAGGTCAGGGCAGGAGGTGCAGGCACTGACAGATCTGTCTACAAACCCCAGGACCAATGCTCTTTACATTTTACACAAACATTCCTCCTACGTGTTTTCAATATTCATTTCCTTTTGCCTAACCTTTAACTCCTGCTTACTGTTTAAAGGTGAAGCCTGCAACCGAAACTCAGCCCTGAAGTAAATCCCCTCCTTAAAAATAAAAAGGAATAAAGACAAAAGAGAGAACTTTGTCCACATTTGCAAAGGAACTAAACAACAGCAACCTTTCAGTGTATGACTGGGATCCATTCTTCCATCTTTTATCTCCAGCTGCCACGAACAAAGCCTCACAGCAAACATCTTCACACAGAAGCGTTAACAAAGTGGTAAACTTGGTAAAGTGGTGGGAATAGGAGTAGTTTGAGGAATGCTTAAGTGTTGCTGGTGGTTTGGAGGTGACTGCTTCCGTGATGAAGGGAGGTAACTACCTAGGAGAGTCTTGCTAACATAGGGAAGTCTGAGCAGGGACAATGGGTAACACTCTAGTAGCAGAGACAGCAGTAAGAAAGCAGCTGGACCAGGGGAGGCTTTTTTCATGGAGAGAAATGGGTAATGTGGGGAAGACAGGTATTTCCCAAGGAATCAGGATTTGCCTAAGCAAGCATGAGAGGTTGGTACATAGTTCCAGTTGAGCAGAAACATGGCTTTGTAAGCTCCCACAGAACATCACACAATGCAACTTCTGTCCAGGGGCTGGAAACTGTCCACGTTCAGTGGACCTGAGCTAATAAGCCCTGGCTTGCACAAAACCAGTCAGGTACTTCTGCTCTACTTAGGCAGATGTGCCTCACCTCCCTAATGATCAGCTTTACCCATTTTTCTGTGGTCATACATGCCACTGCCCTCAGTGAGCACCTACTAGAAAATGAGCAGTGTAACAGACGGTTTCTGCTTTCACCACCATAAGAATGCTTTTGGCAGAGAGGGGAAGTAAGCACTGAAAACAGACTGAGAAAGAAATATCTATGCATGAACACAGACAATGGCAAAGGTCACTAAGCAGGAGGAGCTGGAGTGGCTGCAGGGAAGAAAGGCATCATTATTGCAGAGGGAGGATCTCTGGAGATTGTGGCTGTACTCGTTTGTAGGCAACGAGTACAGTGATTGCACAGTCTTTTCCTGTAATCATTCATAACACCCATGTTGGGGATAGAAGGGAGGTGGAGAGGGATGGTGGAGAAGGCTGTCTGCTAACATACTTCATAGGATGATTTTGAGTAGCTGACAGTGATCATCACCTCTCCCTTCATTTTGCTGCTTTGTCTGCTGGGAACATCTAAGGTGTACACTGAAACTGGAAGTGCACTATAACATCACAGTCGTAAATCCTTCCTCTCCTTTAAAGGCAAAATATTGCCAGATTGACAGTACTGCTTGGATGTCAGTCGCTGAGGTATCTGCAAGGAAACTGAAGGTCCTCAGAGAGTAAGAAAGCCATTACCATTTCCCAAGTATCACTGATCACTAGGAGATGAGCTCCCTGTGCCCCGCAGGACTGCCGGCTGGAATGCCAGTCCTTCTTTTGCTTGGAGAAGGAGTAGCAGCTCCCTCTGTAGGCGACCCACTGCTCAGGGCAGCGTGGCTGAGAGTTACCTGTAAAAGAATTCAAGTACCAGCTTTTCTCTACCATTAACCAACAGAAAGACACTTGTCAGCAAGGATCTGCTGAAAAGCAGCTCTTCTGGATATTTGCAATGCAGAAAACACGAGTGAGGAAAAGCATCTAAAAATAACAGTGTGTGAACACTGAACTTCAGATCCTCTGTGCAATTTCCAGGTATTCGTACAAGAGTCACATGCACTCTGATGCTGGTGCAACACTGCCCACTTCCCCCTGCCCCAGCCCCACTGGGTTTCCTCTGAACTGCTCAAGGTACCTAAGAACCAAAATTGGCTATCTGAAAGCAGGCAGCACTCTGGGTGTGCAAAAAGTAAAGGGAAAAAATTACATCATTCTATGGGTAAAGTATGATCATCACACTTAGGTTGAACGAATTTTAAGCAACAAACAGTAGGTTCTTCCACATAGTCTGGCACCTTCTGCATGCATGCAGAATTGTTACAGACCTTGTATCTTTAATCTGTAGTATACCACTCTAATTGCTGCAGACAAGTCTACAGAAACCTTTCAGTATCTTTCAGTTCTTTGCAACAGGTTCTGAAATGGGTTGCCTGGGGTCTGCACAAGGAGCATATTCTTCACAATATTCTGAATAGGCAGTTGGTACTTAAGGCTGGTAGAAACCTAGAATAGCTTCTGGTTTAACCCCATATACGGAATTCAGGATCTGAGCTCCCATGTTCAGATGAATCTGTGGTCTTTGCTGATGGTTGCTTATCTTCAGCACCCCTTTGTGCACTTACTCATCTTCCATATCAAAGCAATCGCTAGGGAGATGCTCAGTATCCCAAAGCCTATAGCCAAGCCTGGTACAACTTCTGGCCACAGACAGGGAGCTGTAAAAGAGATAAGAAACCATAGTAAACAGGAGCAACATGAAAACTGACAATGGCTTTACACAGTTTGCTTGTGTCCTGGGCATTTCCACAAGGAACTGAACTACTTAGAGACTGCTGTCTGTCTACACTCTGCACACTGCTGCCATCACTGTCCCTGCCTACCTCCCTGGGAGCAACTCACACCCCTGCCCACCAGACCAGGGCCCCATTTCAGCTGGGCTAGAAGTCATCATTCCTTGCCTGAGCTTCCCAGGAGGCTTATGTGTCTGCAGGTCAGCCACATCTCAGCCCCCGCCTGTTTTATTAATCTCAGTATGAGAGCTACAGACAACAGCACTTTCTAAAAAGCAGCAGACGTGCAGCTAATGGTTACTGATGTTGAGGAACCCAGGATTTCTCTGTGCTTCTCCCTTAAGCTTATCTACAACATCCTGCTCTTGTGCTCCAGAGTCTTCTACCCAAGTACAGCAACAAAGTCCCTCATGAAGCTTATGAAATCTGAGGTGCTTCTCTCTCGGTCATGTCACAAGACTCAAAGAAACATATCTGCCCTCCCAGAAAAGGCTAGGAGTCTAAGGAATAAGATGGACAAAGAGGAAGGCTATCTTTAACCAAAGACACTACCACAGCAAGTACATCTAAAACTTGGTGGAAGAAGGTCTGTGAGCAACATGCTGTAGTAATAGGATATGAAATATACAGGGAAGACAGATGGGGGTGCTCTCTCCTCAAGCCAAATTACAGTCAAATTAAGTTAAATAACTAACAGCATAAAGAAATAACAGTAACAGCATCCCCACAGACCAAGCGAATACTACAGGGTTGGAATTATATTATGGGCTGCCAGACAAGGATGGTGACAGCACTCATGAACCAGAAAAAAAAGCACAACCAAAAACCAACAGAGCAACTGTGAGGGAAGCCCAGTGACGACAGATGTCAATTGATCTCATTAAATTATGCAAATCCCGTGTCAGGACATGATGCTGAGACTGAATGCTTAAGACACTGTCAATAGGCACCTCACAGAGCGGCGAGCCAAGAACCACAGAAAGCAAAGCAGCTCGTGACAGCCCTGAGCTGTGCTCAGGCCACCCTGCTCACCACTGCTCCATCCAGCAGCTTCTCTGCCACAGTGAACACAAATGCACTGAGATTCAACAGAGCCAAAATCCAGAAACAATAACCAAAAGGCACTGTGGTATAATGATTTCAGAATGGAAAACTCCAGGAAAATGAGGAAGTTTGTCAGAGATTAATCAAAAGGAATGGCTAAAAGAATAACATAGTTGTAAGCACTAAAAGCAAAGACTTTTATTAGGACCTCTAGGTGGAGGCTAAAAACAAATGCACATCACGTATCAAGAATATTGTGGGAAGGACAAAGAAAGCCAGCGCTAAAACAGAAGGGGAAGGGACTTCACTTGAAAACAAGAATGAACCCTTTAAACACTGGAAGCTTTGTCCAAATACAGAAACTAGACCAGGTCAATAAATTAATACGAATTCATGTAGTTTGACCTTAGAGTGGTTTGCAAGTTCACCACTTTTAAGACCAGTTTCTGTTTTATAGTAATATGATCTTAGAACAGTTTGCAGGCTCACCTGGTTTTAACTGGTTTTAAGACCAGTTTCTGGATTATAGTAATACATTTAGACCTGCAGGTTTGGCCAAAAGAAGTTTCTAAGGTAACACGGGAGAGCATGAAGGAGCTTCATTGTGTCATTCTTCTGGTAGAAAGATCTTTTCTAAGGTAAAGGTTTTGGCACGCTTCCTGAAACTTGCAGGATCTTCCAGCTGTCCCACTTGTAATTAAAAAAATAGCAACTTTACTTTTTTGATCTTTATTACAGAACAAAACCCCATCTCTTTTCAGTTGCAACATACAGATGACTTTTCAGCTACAACCTACTCCTCAGTTTCATGCAAGCGGACAATGGGAGAACTGAAGGACTTGAACTCTTTTCCTCTTGTAAAGTCACCTTTGTGTCTCTGATGACCTGGGTTTTGCCATCAGATTAAGCCTTCAGAGAATGCAGGTAGGCAGAATGCAGATAGGCTGAGTTTAAGAGGTAGGGTGGAGCTGTTTCTCTGCAGATTACAACCGAAAACTAAGCAAAAGAGGATAAACATCCTTTGAGACATAATTCTTTGTTCTGATATCACATTTATGAGGATTTGCACTTCTGTTTTCCTTCCTCTCTTGCCTCTCAAAGAAGCTTTTTCCTTCATCCTCCAGACAGCTGGTCATGATTTTAGGGAAAACTACTTCCAGGGATGACAGTCAGTGAAAGGGTTAATCTTTAAATGTTAGCACTGGGCACTGAGGCTGGTGCCTCCTGGCAAAGAACAGAGCAGTTCACTCTCTATTGTTTCAAACCAATTGCAGAAAAAAAGGAAATGACTGGACTCAGCATCAAAACAAAATCCTAGGGCACCTCCACATCCAGAGCAATGGAAGAGTTCACTTCAGTCCTTAAAAGTGAAAAAATATGCCACCAGATAATTTGGAGAGGAAAAAAGTGAAGTGGGAAAATCATTTTGAAGTATTTGAGGAGAACTTAAGCCTCACTTGAACTTTAGTGGAATCCAGGAATCCAGGAAAGTGGAATTAAAAAGTCCATAAATCGAGATTTTTACCCCTTATGGAAGGGAGACCCTGCACTTCCCCTTTTTTAAAGCAGGTTCAGAGGACTGTGCTTGATCCTCATCCCCAGGACTACATGTGAAGCTCTTGTAGAAGAGGATCGGAGAAGTATCTGAGATAAATTCTTAACACAAGAGAGAAAACTGGATAGAGCATCCAGAAATATTTCCATGTAGTTGTCTGAGGAACTGTAGAAAAGTCTCCTCAACGGAAGGGAGAGGGAACCTTTTACCTTACATAAATAACCAGTGTTAAAACTTTCTAGTATACAGAGCTCCATGCTGGGTCTCCCAGTGCTCTGGAGAAGTGACTGTGATAGGCTGCAAGCAGCATGACCCAGTATTTTTAGGTTTGGGAATCCAAATTCAGTTCAAAATCTGAAAACTGTTAGCATTTTGTAATTCAAGTCTTCTAGGACAGTCTGAAGAACATCTATGAACTGCCCCAAATAGCTCACTCCCCTCAGCTCCTGCCTACGTCAGCAGGGGAGTAGCATGACTACCTAGGGCAAGGGAGGAAAATCTGAGAAACAAGGATCCTGTCCTTGGCTAAGGCACAGACCTGGTTATTGCTGTCACTACAAGGGTGCCACACAGGCCAACATTGTCTTAAGTGACTGCTAGACTGATATTTTGGTAGTGTGGCATATCTAAAGCTCTCTGTAAGCCAAACAGAAGACAACCAGAACAACTCTTCATTTTTGAGGAGTCCACAAGTGCCAAAAGACTCGGTTTGACCAGAGGACTGATCTATACACGTGAATATACTTCTGATACTGCATCACAGGGACGACTTGGTAGCAAATGTGTGCATTTGAAAACAGAGATGAAATACCTGAGAGCATATTTCTCAAAAACAATGGAAGCAGGGACAGAGTTGAAAAAAAGATCATCTAAAGAAAGGTATTTAAACTGTGCTCCCTAGGGGCTCCTCACACGAAGAAGAGAGCTGGGAAATCATCAAATAATATGTACAGAAAGTATGTTAAAAGATCAGCTTCCTTATTTTATGCCCTAAGACTTCAGCTCAGAAAGATGAGGGTACATGAAGAAATTTGGAGAGGAGGAATATGAAGAAGAAAACTGTAAAATATCTCAAGATGGCACTGGGTAATCTCCACCTCCAACAGGGTGGGAGTGAACACAAATGGCAGGTAATGAAGGGATGCCCCTGTGTCTTCTGATGCAACAGAAAACAACATTTCTGCTGCATGCAAAAACAAGACTGCCTTCTAAGCAAATGGAGTGTGATTACCAGATAGGAACCTGGGGATTTCTGTGCTGGTTTTTTTCCATAGTGCAGCAAGTGACCAGGCATCACTAACAACTACAGATATATGTAGTCATTCTGATCAGGGCATAGAATCTAGTATCCCACAGTGAGAGCCCCCTTGGTAATAACAGCTTGGAAAAAAAGCTGAGGTAAAACATTACTGTTGCAGCTAATGCAACACAACTTGTCTAAAGCACACAGGCGTTTAGAGGGAAAGCAATCAGCTCATGAGGAGACACAAGGAATGATCACCAATGCAAAATCTCACTCTTCTAAGGGTGGTATTTCTCAACTAAGCAGGCAGAGAAATTGCTCAGTGTGACATCTGCAAGGCCTGAGCAGGGGGAATGGAGTGGAAATAAGGAAAAAGAAAATTGAAGGAAAGCACTAAGAAAATCTTCCTGATAGTAAAACACCCTGCAGAACTGGCTCAAGGCAAACGCTGGAAATTTGCTCACTGGGAGGTATGTGAAACCAGAACAGAGAAAACAGAGGAAAAAATGTATCACAGAAGAATCCTGCAGAGCCCCACAGGAGAGAGCCTGGATGATCTCATATGCCTCCTCTGTCTCTGATCTCTGATTAGCATACACCTCTAATTTATCTGTACTCACATCTCGCCTGCCCTTCAAAGAACTATAGCTGACAATCTCTTCTCGATGACAAGCAGACAACTTCAAAACTGTGTTTTTTGGAGAAAAGGATGCCTAGGTCGAACGTCCTGGAGTAGCCACCAAAAGGGGACAGACAGAGAAAGGGAGGGAAAACAATGAAGGGGCTCTGATCCACTGGCTTTTGTCACATTAAAATACTCATGGTAGTTTTAGAACCAAAGAAACAGCATCATAAGCAGGCACTCAAAATCGGTGGCCAGCTCAGAGTGTAGATATTGCTTTTGCTCAGTATAAAGTATTTTGTTGACCTACCTCATACAGCTTCCTTACCTCTTTTTTCCCGTGCAGCACTGGTCCTAGGCAGAGGAGTCTGAGAGAATCTGACAGACGTATAAATTATTTCCTCATTCTCTTCAGCTGCAGAAGTTTCTGATCTGCTTCCCTCCATGCCAAAGCAAAGACTGCGTATGACAAGATGTTTCGATTGACAAGATGTTGAGCGACAAGGCTCAACACCCGTGAAACAGGAAACCTGAGGCTACATTCAGAAGACAAGAAATGTGAATATGCAACCTCTATTTTCAGCTGCTCAAAGTAACCCAATCTACAAGAGAATGGAGAGCAGTGGAAGTGTAACAACTTCTATTTCCTAACCTGATCAGGGACATCTTATGACCAGCCGTTAGTGGGAAGAGGTGATTAACCACAAAGTTCATGGGTATTCTAATTGTTGACAGTCCAAGAAGCTGTGATGGCACTGCTGCAGTGACTGTGACAAGGTGCTGTGCTCTGCAGAGCTCCTTCTCAGGACAGAAGCAGGCTGATAACAAGATCACAAGATTAAAAAGGTGAATAGCAAGAGTACAAGGTGAAAAATTACATAAGCGATGGCTACAGCAAACTGGCAGCCCAACTGCTGTCAAAAAGGAAGTAAAGTTGGACAGCATGAGTTTTAGAAGGAAGCCTTGTGAGCTTTGGACACTTCTACTGGGAACTCCATCTAAACCCAGCACCCAGTATGAATGTGCTCGAGGCACAGGCAGGCACTGAGAAGTGGCATCCCTCCAGATCCTCTGATTCAACATCTCAACAGCATCAGTACAAGACAGACATGGACATACTGGAGTCTAGCAATAGGTGACAAAGACGGTAACAGGACTGGAACGTCAGTCTTATGAGGAAAGGCTGAGGGAACTGGGACTGTCTAATCTGGACATGTTTTGGGGAGGATCTTGTTAATGTATATAAATACCTGAAGGGAGGGTACACAAAGAGACAGACTCTTTCCACTGGTACCCAGTGACAGGGCAAAAGGCAATGTGCACAAACTGAAACACAGAAGGGTCCCTCTGAACATCAGGAAACACTTTTACTGTGAGGGTGCCCGGACACTGGCACTGGGCTGGCGAGAAAGACCATGGTGCCTCCCTTCACGGACAGTTGTCTGGACATGGCCCTGGGCAACTGGCTATAGATGTCCCAGCTTGAGCAGGGCATTGGACCAGGCGACCTTGAGAGGAGCCTTCCAAACTCATTCATTCTATGACTGTGGCCAGCAATAACAGGAAGGGCTAGCCTTCTTCTGAAGAAGCTGTTGTGGTTTAAACCCAGCTGGCAACTAAGTATCATGCAGCTGCTCATTCACTCTCCCCCTCCCACAGTGGGGTGGGAGGAGAATTGGGAAAAAGTGAAAACCCAGGGGTTGAGACAAGCACAGTTTAATAATACAATATAATACTACTAATAATACTAAATACTAATACTAATAATGAAAAGGGAAATAACAAGAGAGAAAACTAAAAACAACCAGGAGTGATGCACAATACAGTTCCTCACCACCAGCTGACCAATGCTCAACCAGACCCAAGCAGTGATTTGTCCTTTCCAGTTTCTATACTGGGCATGAGGTGCTGTGGTATGGAATACCCCTTTGGCTAGTTTGGGTCTGCTTCCTCCTGCTTCCTGTCCTCCTCCTCACTGACAGAGTATGAGACTGAAAAGTCCTTGATTCAGGGTAAGTGCTACTGAGCAACAGCTAAAACATGGGTGTGTTATCACCATCAATCTCAGACTAAAGCCAAACCACAGCACTGCACCAGGTACTGGGAGGAAAATCAACTCTATCTCAGCCAAAACCAGGACAGTAGCAAAGACTGACCATTGGAGAGTACCATTCAAGCTGTGCCAGGGGAGATTAGATTGGATATTAGGAAAAAATTCTCCCCTGAAAGGGCTGTCAAACACTGGAACAGGCTGCTCAGGGAAGTGGCTGAGTCACCATCCCTGGAGGTATTTAAGTGATGTATCTGTCCCCTCAAATAAGTGCCTTCTCTAGCATGTTAACAAGTTCACTAAATCCAGCATTTCTTTCTTGATGAAAAGATGAAACAGCCTCAGAGCTCTGGCAAAGAACATCTGTCACGTGGAGACGAACCCAGGAGGACCGAGGCCAGAAAGCAGTTTCATGAGGAGTGGTGTCTCTTGCTTGGCGGTGCCTAGTGGGGAACAGCCATGTTCTGCTGCTGCCTTCGACAGGGAAAGAGCCGGTAATGGCTGGCTGCCGCTGGAAAGGCAGCGCGGGAGCTCGGCGGGCAGCTCCACAGCCCTGCGAGCCCGGTGACGCCCAGGCTGCGGTTCCGCAGGCCGCAGCCACACCTCCCGGCGCATCACGGCGAGGGGCAGGGCGAGCAGCGAGAAGCGCTCCCCCGCCATTGGGAGAGTGGCTGCCGCCTCCAGCCGCGCTCTGAGGTAGCTGCCGGGTGGGGGGTTCGCCGGCTGCCGTGGCTGAACTTCCCTCTACGGACCTTCATCGGTCATTGGAAGAGAAGCGAGGGGAGGCGGGATCTCCGCGCCTTTTCTCACCGCCCATTGGATAGAGAAGAGGAAGCGGCCTCCAGCACCCCCCCGTCATAGGCTGGAGCGGGCTTTAGGAGTAGCCCCTTTCCACTGCCTCTCTTCATTCGCTGAAGAACCGCCAATGAGCGCGGCGATCTGGCGGCACTCGAGTTCCTATTGGCGGAGAGTGCCACTTCCGCCACGCCCCTCTTGCTTCCGGTTGGTGGGGTGGGCGAGCTGAGCCGGCGGGGGCCACGGGGGAGGTCGGTGCAGCCCGGCGCCGTCCGCGCCTGTGGTCCTCGGGCCGTCCCGTCACCGCCGGCGGTGCAGCATGGGATGCTCTTGAGCGGCGGATCGCTCTTCCCTACGGGCGGCCTTGTCCGTGCCCGTGCCTGTGCGAGGCGGGGGGAGGCCGGGCGGCGCCGGGGCCGGGCCGGCAGCAGGTGGGTGCGGGGTTGGCGGGTTGGGCTGCGGCGGCAGATGGGAGGGGGAGGGCGAGGAGTGGCACCGAGGCTCCTGGAGCCGCCGCGGGCCTGAAACCGCGCCCTGACCAGGGTGGGTGGCTCCGTCCCAGCGGCGGGCACGGCTCAGGCAGCGGTAACCGGCCAGGGGAGCAGCGTCGTCGCATCCATCCCTTTTTACTTCAGGCTGAGTGCGAGGGAAGCGTTTGCCAGCGCTGTGCCGGGCGCAGCCGCGGCTAGTGCCAAGGGCAGGGTTCCACTTTTAGGCTTACGAGACGAATCACGAGTTCCTGTATCACGGGCTTCCTCATTTCAGCGTAACTAACCTTGTCCTCTGTGACCTCCGTGGCGATCCGAGAGCTGGCTGGGTAGTAGTAGGCCTGCAGGAGCTGGGGGCTCACTGTTAGGTGCTGCAGACAGGCGCTGTCTGCTGTGGCCATGTGTTTGTTCATTTGCGGGTCTGTCAACCCTCAGCATCTGGAGCTTTACTGAAGTCTGCAACGGGAGGGGCTGAGGGAAATCTGTTGCATCACTGTGGTTGCTGGTGCAATCACTGAACGTTTCATATGTGATTTTTAGTGTGAGCTGGAGGCCAAATTTCTAGATTCCACTAGTGCCTTCATTACTGCTTCTTCAGTTGAACTGATGTCTCAGTGTCCTCCTTCCCTTCTTCGCCTTTATAAACAGAACAAAACTGTACTGTGAAGTTGCAGCTTACAATTATTAAACACTTTCAGATTGTCAGCTAAAGTAGTAGTAAAAAGATATCATGTTTATTAAGATTAAGGCACTTGAACAAACAGATCCTGACTAATTGCAGTGGCTTTTCCCTCCAAGTTCTTCACAAAGAGCTGCAAAGAGGCTTGATTAGAGGCCTGGTTAATCATTTTCTGCTGACTGGTTCCTCAGTGCAGTGCAGTAACCAACAATAGCTTGTGCCTGAAACTTACTCCAGCGTTCAGCCTGATGAGGCAAAATTCAGCAGAGAATCCCAAAATCAGCCCAGTGAATGGCTTGGCTACACAAGTGATTGAGATTTAGTTTCTGGGACCTGTTTCTAGATTCTGACTTCTCCTTTTTGCAGTGAGGACTGTGGGAGTGGCCAGTCACTGACTCTGTGACCCTGAAGTTAGTTTGCAGGGGGCTAAACCAGTTAATCCTCTGTTTTCTCTGTGATGTGCATGTCCAGGATGTCATCACCTTGCCATACCTCTGCTGTGCTGGTAGTTTTTATGGCCCTTGCTGTTGTGGGGGCTGAACAGTCAAAAGAGAGGAGTTGTGATGTGATCGGAGACGAAAGCAGTGAGTCACAAATGGAAAGAGCCCTGCTGAAGAAACTGGAGCCCCTAAGCCCAATGAGGTACAGTACAACACCCTGCAGGCCCTGGAGCTGTGCAGTGCCTCCCTGAGGCCAATGGGAGGGGAGGACTTGGAGCCAGACTGCAGAATGGGCTTCCCTGTTACTAAGGGTGGTGACTGGCTTCCAGGTCTCAAATGTCTACTGCTCTGGGCCTTGTTCCTTGTAATCCTGTGAGCTGTCTGTTCTGTCCTCTCCCTGCTCAGGTTTAACGTGACTGTGGAGAAAGGCAAAACGGAAAACTACGTCTACCATTTCAGAGTGTGCAGGGAGGTCAACAGCACCTTACACGATTTTGGTGGCCTGGTGCAAACAGATAGACAGAATGGGAAGACCACAGTGATAGGAAGAATTAATGAAACTCAGGTCTTCAATGGAAGTAAGAGTCCACTCAAGACTTGACTTACTCAGTATCTGCCTTTTGTCTCCTGATCTGGATTTGCAGCCTATATTGTTTCTCTTTCGGCAGGTGACTGGATCATGCTGATTTATAAAGGAGGTGATTCATATGGCAGGCACTGCAGTGGTGAGAAGAGAAGAGCTGTGATAATGATTTCTTGCAAGCGGGGAGTTACAGCAGTAAGTGACACATGAGGTGGGAGAGGAGCGGGAGGCTGCCAGACAGATGGTTGATAAGCAGAAGGGCTTTGAGGAGGCTGCAAGGTTTTCTTCTGTCCTCCAGTGTCTGTTGTATAGCTGCACTAACAGTGATGAAAGTGTCTTCTGGTGAAGTTCAGCATGCCTGCGCACATTTTCACATGACTTCACTTTTCCCAAATTGCAGAGCTCATTCAGCATTATTTCTGAAGAGCGGGAAAAGGAGCAGGAGTGTTTCTACCTCTTTGAGATGGACAGCAGTGTGGCTTGTCCAGCTGAAGATTCCCACCTCAGCGTTGGCTCTATTTTACTGATCACGTGAGTCACTGGAAGAGCTGCTTGTGTCTGGGCCATAATCCCCAGTGCCATTTAGAAACACAGCAAATACTGCACTAAACTGGGTAATTGTAGTGTACCTGTCCACAGCCACCACTGGATGTTACTATTCTTCTGAACAAAAGGTCTTGCTCAAGGCATGATAGTGTCCTCAACATAAGAAGGACATGGAGCTATTGGAACAAGCCCAGAGGAGGCCACCAAGATGATCAGGGGCTGGAGCACCTCCCATACAAAGGCAGGCTGAGAAGGTTGGGTCTGTTCAGCCTGGAGGAGAGAAGGCTGCATGGAGACCTCATAGCAGCCTTCCAGTATCTGAATGGAGGGCCTGTAAGGATGTTGGAGAGGGACTCTTCATCAGGGACTGTAGTGATAGGGGTGATGGATTTAAACTGAAACTGTGGAAGTTCAGGTTAGATATAAGGAAGAAGTTCTTTACTATGAGGGTGGTGAGGCACTGGCACAGGTTGCCCAGAGAAGTGAATGCTCCATCCCTGGCAGCGTTCAAGGCCAGGCTGGACAGAGCCTTGGGTGACATGGTCTAGTTGAGGTGTCCCTGCCCATAGCTGGGGGGGTTGGAACTCAATGCTCTTAAGGTCCTTTCCAACCTTAACCATTCCATGATGCTGCAGAGCTGCTTTGTTCCCTGTCAACATCCTCCTTCATATTCTACAGACAAGAGCATGGAAGACATGATTTCCTAAAATTGTACAACAGCTTTTTGCCAGAGTTGGGAATGCAGACCAGCTTGCCTCATTTTCTTTGTGCTTACTAGAGGCACTACTTCATGTAATGCTGCTGAAAGATTTGTACCAGCATTATCAGTAATTTGGGGGCCTTTTCTGCTCTGGTCTGGTCTCTGTTTACAGCTCTGTTACTGAGTGGTGCTCAGCTACTTGCTTAAATACCACTTTGAAGGTGGCTCAGAAGAGGTTGTCTATAGAATTTCCTCAGCTTTGACTTTTAATTATACTCTCCAGGTTTGCTTCACTGATTGCAGTCTACATCATTGGTGGGTTCCTGTACCAGCGCCTTGTAGTGGGAGCAAAGGGCATGGAGCAGTTCCCTCACTTTGCCTTCTGGCAAGATCTGGGCAATTTGGTAGCGGTGAGTGAAGAATATGTTTTATTTTTCTGAAGTACTCTATTTCTTAATTACTGCCAAGACTGATTCCCTGCCAGTATCCTGCAATTACCACATAACGAACTGGAAAACTTGCTCAGTTGAAGTTAACACTTTCCAGCTAGGGACTTTGAAATGTTATGTCCAGCTACCTGAAACACTTCCTTGGCCACTGTAGGCAGTGCCATTGATCAGCCCGACATTGCTGCGTGCTGTTCATCAGTATGCCTAGAGCTTTCAGGACCAAGTAGGATGCTTGTAATGTGTGCTTGTCAAGACAGATTTTGGGGACCTGTTCCATACAGCATAAGGCAACAGAGAAATGGCAGCAGCTGCTTTGCTTTGGGTGCTGAGACAATTGCCTGCAGTCTGATTCTGGTACAATATCCTGTGTTGCAGGATGGCTGTGACTTTGTCTGCAGATCCAAGCCTCGTAATGCACCAGCCACATACCGTGGGGTGGGTGACGACCAGCTGGGAGAGGAGTCGGAGGAGAGGGATGACCACTTGCTACCAATGTGATCAGCTTTTAACACTGAGTTCTTTTCTCCCCATCTCCCCAGTTTAGCTGGGCATCTCCCAGCCAGTTCTCCTTCTCTCACTCTGATTTTCTTTACACTCTTTGCTTTTGCTGTCTCTGGTGCACCAAGTCCCATGGATGCCTCTGGGTGTGAACAGAACTGGTCCCTGGTGGTATGTCTTGTGAATATAATGCTGGTTTAGGTTTATAAAAATGCAGCAGAGCTGAGGGGAGAAAGTGCTGAGAGTTGAGAGAAGATGGTAAGAAAGCAGTATGAGTGTTCAGCATGGGAGAGAAATCACCAAGAGATAAAAAGAACCATGGATGGGTGCAGAAAGGGGAAGGAGGCCATGGGTTAAAACAGCTGAGACTGTAGGAGGGATCTTTTGCGTCTTCCCTCTCACCCCTAAGGTTTACAGGATCCATAAGACACTGGAATTCCTTTTCTTTGAATGCATTTTCAGTTTTTCTAGCTTTTGCACTACTGCTGCTGCCAGCGTAACCTGCAGCATGCCCTATGCCAGAGTCTGGGGGGGTGGAGGAGACATTGGCACCTCTGCAGTATTTTCTTTTCTTAATGGCAGTATGTAGAAGAGTACACACCAGTTTCTTTCAACAGATACAAAGGGATGCATGCCATCCTCTCAGACAATTGAGAAGGGGCTATGCTAAAAAAAGAGTTAAATACAGTCTCAAGAATTTCCAGTTCAGTCACAATATTGTCTTGGCTTTCTCAAATCATTGAGAAGCAAAAGGAAATAACGTGCTGCTAAGTAAAGGGAACATTTGCCAAAACTCACATGAAGGCACAATGAAACTGGCAGCTGCCACTCAAGTTCTAAGCTTTCTGAGGTGACTGCCCACACAGCTCAGTCACCTTCAGTACTGTGATTACATGCTTTCCAAAAGTTCCTTGTTTTGCAGAGGATTTTCCCAGGAAGCTACCAGAATATAAAAAAGGAACCATAGAAGCCAAGGATAAGAAGTACTTGTGTAATAAAAAACTGTGTAAGGGACTCCTGCACTGCCAGGGTCAGCTTTCATAAATTGTCCCTCAAGCATGGTACAGATGGTACTTGGATACTGCTGCTGGCTGGGAGTGAGAGAGACCTCTTCCTGGGGCCCTGGTAAAAAGCAGGTACAGCCAAGTTGCAAGACTTCAGGCACTTGGCACCTTGATTCTTAATTGTTTTTTTTTATTTTAGGGGCTATACTCTAAGTGATCCCATTCTGCCCTATTCTAGACTGGCAAGAACTGCTCTCGGTCTTGAGGGCACAGACTGTGAATAAGCAAGCCGCTACTGTTAACAGCAGAATACAGACAAGATTTATATATTTGTAATACTGGTAAAGCAGTCTGAACCGTGACATGGAGGGGAAAGGGGGGGGGGCTTGCTTTCTTACTGGGTTTGGAGTGGGCAAACAGCTCCTGCTTTCTTTGACTTTTGTTACAGTCTCAATCTTGTAACATGGGAAAAATAGGAAGTCACTAAGTCTGTTATTACTGGTCTTCATGGTGGTGTTTAAGGTAATTTTTTTGTACAAAACACAACTTTCAAAAATAAATAAAAAAACAAACAAAACCAAAACGAACAAACAACCCCAAAACTGGTGAAGTGTTGTGCTGCTGTAACAAGAGCTTTCTGTGGTACCAGAGCATCCTTCTTACCCAAAGGTGATGGGTCCTTAGTGGGTGGTGCCTTGTGCCTGAACTACTCTTTCCCAGAACAGGCCTCTTGTTAGTACATGGTTTTTTGCTGCCACCTCGTAGGGCTTAAGAGGGAGTGGTATACATTGCTTTAGGAGCTCAGGTAGTAAGGGATGGGAAAATGTTCCTATGCTCTGTATCTTTCTGCAACAATAAAAAGAGAAATTAACTTTTAGCAGCCAGACCTGCAAAGCCTGCAGAAGCTTTTTTTTTTCTTTTTTTTTTATTAAGAACATTGACTATAAAATGAAACCTCATTTGACTGAAATAAGATCCAGTTCTCAGAAGCAGTAGTACTGCAGGCAGGTTAGTTGCCTGCCTACCCTGCCAAGGGTCAAACTGAACTGGATTTTTATCATACCCAGCCTGCTAAGGATAAAATACTTCAAGGACAGCCTTCCTCAGCTGATTGGTGTTGAGTTTCTAACCTCCCTCTTCCCTACCACCAAATTATATTAGACCAAATAGTGTTACCAGGGTGCAGCTTCTTTTGGGCCCATTTTCATTCAAGAAGCCTCAGAAGTTTTCTTTCACAGGAACAAAGGCATTATTAGAGTGAGATTCAACAGTACACTTAAGACTAGAAAGCTGCTGCCACATTTTATCCATCTTCTAAGCCATTTCCCCCCTCTCATTTCTAATATGGGTCAGTAAAGAGCCAATTCCAAACATCTCTAGTGTTTTCCTACCTATGCGATTGGGCATCCCATGTAACTACAGCTTTCCACACAGTGTCTGTTTCACTCAATTATTCATATTCATAGAAAAGCTGAGACACATGGTTTATAAAATCATGTTGCTTGCAGGTATTTAGCTCTAAGGGGCACTTACCTCTTCATGCTTTGTGTAATTTCTTCTGGGTTTTTGCCTATTTTGTTCGAAGAAGAGGTGCTTTTGGAAGAGAACTCTGCCCAGATTCTCACCTTTGGCAACCTGATTACAAAACTAAAGAATACCACGTTTGGTCCTTAAAACCAAATCCCAAACCTCGAGGGGCTAAAAGAGAGAGACAGCCTATAACATAATTCTACCCTTCATAAGGCAGAAGTAGCATTAAAGGATTAGCATTCAGTTGTTGGAGGGTTGGTTGTTGGTTTTAACTGAGAGAAGTATTTGTTTTATAACACCAGCAACAACAACAAAACAGCCTGAGGCAGGCGATACAATCCTGCCAGCTTAAACTTTGTCCCAGAAACTCTCCTGAGGATAATGAAGACAGACATAAAAATAATACAAACTGGTAAGAGAACACAAAAAAAACCCAAAACAAAAACACAGCCCATTGTATGAAGAGCCTTGGCGCTTCTAGAGACTGCTTTGGACCTGCAAATTACGCCCTAGCACAACAGGGAGATGAACCTAGCGCCTAATGTAAGACAGTCCCCCTTCCCTTCAATTTTCCAATCACCTTGTTTGTAAGTACTCGGGATAAATCCTCCTTTGGTTCAGAGAGGAGCATCTGGAGTGAATAGCTGCTACAACACTTTGTCTTCATTCTGCATCACTACATGAGACAGTAAAGCTTTGGCAGCTCCTATTGCCACAGGCCTTCAAGTTTGGTATGCATGCTGGAATGGCTATTAAACCCAGTTCATGAGCAGCCTAGATTTTTTTAACAGTGGAAGAGAAGCAGCCCCTTTTATTCAAATTCTTGTTTGTCCACCTCTTGTCATTTGGACTTTACTGGTTCCCCTTCCTAAATGCCCCAAGCACAGCTGCTCCCAAAGCCCATGTGGGGCCAGCTCTTCCTTTGCCTCAAGTTCTGGCACAGTGAGATTCAAAACTAAAATATAGCAGACTTGCTGTAACAAAAAGGGGTGAGCACATTTCCCTTTGAGAAGTCTGCTAAGACAAAAAGAACTCCCCTTCATGTCTTTATGTGTTATACAGGAGAGGCATATTAAAAATCAGGAAGAATGAGTGATGTTTCAAGGCCCCAGGGGGGAGTTTTCCTCCCCATTGTAGCACCGTTAAAAAGACCAAGATATGGGCATGTTAACTGTCCACAGCAGTTAGTCAGTTAAATTCCTTCTCATTCTTGAATGCAAGACCACAGGGGGCTGTCCCATTCTTCCCTGCCCCAGCAGGATGCTCCAAAGCTGGCAGCTGCCCTGGGGTCAAAGCAAGAGTGAGACCTAAGCTTCAGAGCTGTTAAGTCTCCTTGAGGACGTTGATCTTGGCACATATCTTGAGAGCTGGTCCCAGCTTTATGTTCATGGCACTCATGAGGTGTTCCTCCTTCAGAAGCAACAGGGCCTGGCCATCTATTTCCTGTGACCGAAACTCCTCAGCAATCTCCTGGCACCCTGTGAAACCAAAAGAAAACAGCACTGAGAAAATATGTTCCCTGGGCACTCCCCTCATCCCCACTCTTGGGCCTCAGGCAGGTACAGAAAGCAAGCTAGGAATATAACCAATCCCCCTCCCCACTCTAGTCCACAGTCTGCCTGAAAACACAGCCTACTTGAGAAGTACATCTGTATGACCCACTCCCATTCAGAAACCTGTAGAGAAATACAATAACAGCACTAGGCGCCACTGACACCACCTCCTTTCCAGAAAGAGACCCAACAAATATCCCCATGCTACTGAATCACAGGAGTGCAGGAGGGGATCGTAACTTCACCTTGCAGTGATGCAATGAACTCATACACTTCCTCCACACTCCAACGACTGGGATTGCTGGACAGGAAGACTGGGTTGATGCCATGTAGATCTGGGGTAGGTGGGGCCATGCTAGAGTTTGGCAGGTCCCTCTCTCCATGACTGGCCCTTACTGACAGTGGCCCTGGAGATGTAGGGGACAAAGCTTCATCATAGCTGGAGTTATCAGAGCCTCGACTTGAGTCTTCCTGGCCCTATAAGCCCAGAGGAAAGAAAGAAAACAAAAGGTGTTTTGTAGGAAATTCAAAATTACTATGTGCAAAACAAGGCATTGGGAATAGCAGAAGTTGTCCCATCAGTCTGGGTCACTGTCTCAGGTTGCTGCTCAGGGCAGTTGACATATGAGCTCAGTGATACCAGAAATGGGAGACTTGACTCACCTCCCTTCTCCCCATCCTTCCCCAGTCAATTCCTCTTCCTCACATGAGCACTGAAGCTCCTTCGATTTTCTTTAATCTGATTAAAACCATTCATGTGGAAGAATGGTTAATCGAACAGGAAAAAGAGGACTGTTTCCTACCAAAGCTGATCTCATTCACTGAGACCTCCAAGACACACACAGGAGTGAACACAGTGAACAGAACAAGTACAAATGTGAATCCACTTTCTTTGGTTGACGAGTGATTAGAACAGCTCACTATGCCCCATGTAATAACTGTGTTAATGTGTACCTCTTACAACCTTTATGTCTACATCACTGTGAGAAAGCAGTGCATCCAACACTGACAGCTTTACACTGAGACCTGGCCTTGACTATGTCCTTACCCTGTGGCGCTTGCCCTGGATCTTTGTTCGCGCAATGTCAGAGCTGCTGCGCCGAGGGCCCCGTCGGCGCACACGGGCATAGTTGGCTTCCTGGAATTCCTTCATCTTCTTCCTTTGCAGCCGAAATTGATGGCTGCAGCTGACATTGTACCTCGAGTAAGTAGAAGCAGAGCAGCAGTTAGGGAACAGCAACAATCTAAACCTACTGCTTCTCCTTGCTCTAGATGGGGATAAATCTCCTCTTTACCATCAAGTTCTGTTCCTCCTCCTCCTAAGACTTACCCTTGGAAGGAACCAGTCCAGACTTCTGACTCAAGCAATATTTGGACAGCAGAGTCTTGATCTAACATCTGAAGGGTCAATTAAGTCATTCCTCTAAGGGAAAAAAGACCCATAAAAAGCACTCTGCTATCAGTAGGAGGCAGCAATGACTAGTCTAACTTCTCCCCAGCTGCTTCTTTCCCAATGCTCCCTTATGGTTTTGTCTAGTACTAATGCAGCAGACAGCTACCAATATGCATTTGTTTACTCAGTCAAATCTATAATTTGACTGAAGAGTGCTTTTTCAGAGTC